GCAAACCCATGAAAACTGCAACCAGGAGGAGAAAGACCAAGATGAAATAAACAAAAAAATAACCCTAAAGGCAAGAGGACAGATCTTAAACAAAGCAAACCTTCTCAAATTTATATCCTTCAGAGATATTTGAGAAGATATTGCATCAATAAAATAAGAATATTTTGATAAAGGAGACCAAGAAAAAGTTATTGGAAATTTAAAAAATTTCCTAGAAATTAGAGTGAGAAGACAGATGGAAACAGGAGAGAAAAGATGAGACACATAGAAGAATAATCTGGGAGGTGCAGGTTACTTAAAAGGAAGGGAAGAGTCCACAAGTCTGTTCTATACATCTGAGTCTCTTTTTCTGTTTTGCATACAGGGGAGAAGGCGAGGGTGGGATGTTTCAAGAGAACAGCATCGAAACATGTATATTATCTAGGGTGAAACAGATCACCAGCCCAGGTTGGGTGCATGAGACAAGTGCTCGGGCCTGGTACACTGGGAAGACCCAGAGGGATCGGGTGGAGAGGGAGGTGGGAGGGGGGACCGGGATGGGGAATACATGTAAATCCATGGCTAATTCATTTCAATGTATGACAAAAACCACTGCATTGATATAAAGTAATTAGCCTCCAACTAATAAAAATAAATGGAAAAAATTTTTTTAAAAAAAGGAAGGGAAGAAATGGAGCAAAAGAAAACATCAAAGAAATAATACAGAGCTTTTTCCAAAATAGAAAAGAATATCTGAGTTGCCTAGCACAATGAATGTAAAAACCATGTGTGTCCAGATGCATCTTTACAGAAATTTAGGATATTGGGAATAAAGAACCTACAAGCTTCTAGAGAGAGAAAGCTGGTCACCTTTTTCAGGAATGTGCTTGGCATGAGCCACACCAGGGGACAGAGGACACTGAACGGCACCCTGGTCATTCTGAGGGAAGATGATTTTAAAAAAATATATATTTATTAATAAATAAAATGGGTCTTAGTTGCAGCATGCAAACTCTTAGTTGAGGCATGTGGGATCTGGTTCCCTGGCCAGGGATTGAACATGGGGCCCCTGCATTGGGAGTCTTAGCCTCTGGACCACCAGGGAAGTCCTGAAGATGATTTTCAACATAGAATTCTATACCTATTCAAATTGCTAACTAAATATGACATACTCAGACATTCAAAGATTCAGGAAGTTTCCCTCCCATATACCAGTTCTTAGGAAGTTACTTGAGATTGCCCTAGTGAAATGAGGAAATCACGAGATTCTAGAAACAGGGGGGGAAAGCCAGAATAATGATAAAGGCTGGGGACTTCCCTGATGGTCAAGCAGTTAAGACTCCACACTCCCGATGCAGGGAGCATGAGTTTGATTCCTGTCAGGGAATGGGGGTCCCACCAGCAGTGCAGCAGGGCCATAAATAAATATGAAAGTTTTTCTAAAATAATCATGAACTCTCAACCCTTGGAGCAGAAGACTGAGAGTCCCAGTAGGAAGTTTTCTAGGAGAGAAAAGTGTGTTGGAAGAAACTTGATACCATCTTTGGAAATTTGGAACCATCTAACCACCATGTTAACCAAACAGCAGAGAGGAAAAAAGAAAGGCAATTAGAAACCCCAGGGAAGGTAAAAGAAAAATAACATCTGCAAGGAGTGAGAATATGCCATCCTGGTACATATCCGCCATTTAGCTGTGCAGAGAGCAATATTTATATAATTGTAATAATGTGAGCACAAGTGATTAATTTTTAATGTAAGGTCAACGTACACTTGAAGGGAGGACTTGTGACTATAGGATAGACCTTTAACCTTGACATTGTAAAAAGCACAGCTGATGGTTTGAAGATGGGAGTGGAGAGGAGAGCTAAGGGGAAGGATGCAGACAGCCTTATCTTTAAATGTGTGGAGACAACGGATAGTGTCCTAGTCGGTAAGAACTGAGAAATAAAGGTATAGGGTATTATTTAAAGCTACAGAGATAACCAGTAGAGAAAGTAAAAATGGTGACATAACCATTTTGGCAAGAAAGAGTGATATTTGAAGAGCACAACTGAGCTAAATCCCATGTATTAAAGAAATAAATGATCATGCTTTAAGTTGCTCAAACAAGAAGTAGCAGATAAATTTAGAGACTAAAAGAAGCAAAAATTGAAACAGTGAAATGATTTTAAAATGGTTTCCTCTGAAGAACAGAACTAAAAGAATATTGCAGGAAACCACTGCTTTTTACTATGCTTTTTAAAATTACTTTTAAAAAGGGAAGCTGAGAGGCGGCGGGGGGTGGGGGGCGGGCGGGGAAAGAAGGAAAGAACTAAGAGCCCTGACAGATCATAATACAACCTATTAATACTTGGAGATTCCAGATGGACATAGACCTTTTTTAAGACCTGGGAATTACACCTATATCTTCTGACATTAATATAAATTGTGTGTGTATGTATTTAATAAGGTTTTGTTTTCATTTAAAAATAATTTCAAACTTACAGAAATGTTTCAAGAATAAGAATAGTAGGACAAACACTGTGTATTCCACACCCAGATTCACCCGTGTGAAAATTTCACTACATTTGTATCACCATCTGCCCCTCACCGAGCCCATATGTTCTCTAAACCTCTGGAGGGATTTAGACATCAAGACCCTTGACCCCTACATACTTCAGTGTATATTGTTTAAGAATAGGCAAGAATATGCTCTTATATAACCACAGCAAATTTAACATGGACACAAAACTTTAATCTACTCATAAGATTTAATTTGCAAAGAGCATCTTTTCCTACTGTAGACTCCCTCCCCTCAGAGTCAGTTTTGCCATGTACCTTTCTTTTTCCCTCCCCACCCCAGTCTCCTGCTGTCACTTTCATCCTCTCTACTTGCTTTTGCCTTTTTGTTTCACCCCATTCCTAATTCAGGTCTCAGTTTTTGTCGTTGTTTTTAAAAATAATCTTATCTGTTTTTGGCCGTGCTGGATCCTCTTTGTGCATAGGCTTTTCTCTAGAGCAGGGGCGATCCTATAGTTGTGGTATGTGGGCTCCCCTCACGGAGACTTGTTCTCGGGGGCACGGTCCTCAGTAGTTGCAGCACGTGGGTTCAGTAGTTGTGGCTCCTGGGCTCTAGAGCACTGGCTCAAATAGTTGGGGTGCATGGGCTTGGTTGCTTTGCGACATGTGGGACCCTCCCAGACCACAGGGATCAAACCCATTGTCTCCTGCATTGGCAGGCAGATTCCTTACCACTTTACCTTCCTTTTTAATGGTAGCATTTACAATTTTTTTTCATTGGTGTATAGTTTATTTCTCCTGGCAATCTTGATTCTACCTTTTGCCTCATCCAGCCCTGCGTTTCTCATGATGTACTCTGCATATAGGTTAAATAAGCAGGGTGACAATATACAGCCTTGACGTACTCCTTTCCCAATTTGGAACCAGTCTGTTCTGTGTCCAGTTCTAACTGTTGCTTCCTGACCTGCATACAGATTTCTCAGGTCAGGTGGTCTGGTATTCCCATCTCTAGAAGAATTTCCCACAGTTTGTTGTGATCCACACAGTCAAAGGCTTTGGCATAGTCTGGAACTCACTTGCTTTTTTGATGTTCCGATGGATGTTGGCAATTTGAGCTCTGGTTCCTTTGCCTTTTCTAAATCCAGCTTGAACATCTGCAAGTTCACAGTTCACATACTGTTGAAGCCTGGCTTGGAGAATTTTGAGCATTACTTTGCTAGTGTGTGAGATTAAGTGCAATTGTGCAGTAGTTTGAGCATTCTTTGGCATTGCATTTCTTTGGGATTGGAATGAAAACTGACCTTTTCCCGTCCTTTGTCCACTGCTGAGTTTTCCAAATTCATTGGCATATTGAGTGCAGCACTTTTGCAGCATCATCTTTTAGGAATTCCAGCTCAACTGGAATTCCATCACCTCTGCTAGCTTTGTTTGTAGTGATGCTTCCTAAGGCCCACTTAACTTCGCAACCCAGGATGTGACACCACCCTTATGGAGAAATCGAAGAACTAAAGAGCCTCTTGATGAAAGTGAAAGAGGAGAGTGAAAGTGTCGGCTTAAAACTCAACATTCATAAAACTAAGATCGTGGCATCTGGTCCCATCACTTCATGGCAAATAGATGGGGAAGCAATGAAAACAGTGACAGACTTTATTTTGGGGGGCTGCAAAATCACTGCAGATAGTGGCTGCAGCCATGAAATTAAAAGACCCTTGCTCCTTGGAAGAAAAGTTATGACCAACTTAGCATATTAAAAGGCAGAGATATTACTTTGCCAACAAAGATCTATCTAGTTAAAGCTATGGTTTTTCCAGTAGTCATGGATGGATGTGAGAATTGGACCATAAGGAAAGCTGAGCGCCAAGGAATTGATGCTTTAGAACTGTGGTGTTGAAGAAGACTCTTGAGAGTCCCTTGGACTGCAAGGAGATCCAACCAGTCCATCCTAAAGGAAATCAGTCCTGAATATTCATCAGAAGGACTAACGCTGAAGCTGAAACTCCAATACTTTGGCCACCTGATGCGAAGAGCTGACTCATTGGAAAAGACCCTGATGCTGGGAAAGATTGAAGGTGGGAGGAGAAGGGGACAGCAGAGGATGAGATGGTTGGATGGCATCACAGACTCAATGGACATGAGTTTGAATAAGCTCCAGGAGTTGGTGATGGACATGGAGGTGTGGTGTGCTGCAGTCCATGGGGTCGCAAAGAGTCAGACACCACTGAGCGAATGAACTGAACTGATAGTTGATTTACAATGTCATGTTAGTCTACTTGTTTCCACTTTCTGTTTTCAGGTGTTTTGTTCTATAATTATTTGAATGATTCCTGGAGCTTAAAGCACAGACATACACAGACGCATGCTTAGAATTCTGTTTTGGAGGGAGTTTTTGGTTCCTTTGCCTTTCCAAAAATCACTGGCACTATTTGAATCTTTGATCATTCTTTTGAAACATGAATTGTAGACGTGTGTTTCTGAGAGTTTAACAGCCGTTTTTCTTTTCTTTTTTCCACTGTGGTTTATAGTTTGCAAAAATACCGGAAGGTCCTGTCCCCCCATCCACACCAAAGTTTGCATATGGAAAAGTTGCTCTGAAAAAGGTAAGAAAAAAAAACTGACAGAAACATTGAGAGTAAGGAAGTGGAATTCAGCAGTCATGAGTCAAAGTGTTAGGCCTGGCAATCGGTTCCTTATTTTTTTTGTGAACTTGTTTTCTGTGAGACTGATGGGGTGGGTGATGTTTCTGGGAAAACGGGGACACAGGCCATGAAATGCTGTGTGTGATGTTGACAGGGTGAGTGCATCAGGCGTGAGCGGGCATTCGTAGATCATTTTGTTTCCATCATCAGTGTCAAAACCAGTGTTAGGAACCCTTGTGGGAATAACATGCAACCTTATTGTTATGGCTAGTGACATTCATTTCTATAATTCTCCCTTTCTAAAAGGAGTTCTCAAAAGCCACAAACATTAACTCTAAATGATACATTCCCCTCCATCTCAAAACCATGTCTTCAGGAAAAAAAGAAAAATCATGTCCTCATGGCTTGTGGCTTGTATGGTAATTGGGACATCGAGTGGGAAAGCTAGAAATGATTCATAAATATTAGCGAAGAACTTTTTCTTCTAGGGAAAGAGAAAAAGAGGAGAGGCTTCATTTGATAGTCAGGAGTGACGTAAGCCCAAGGCAATTTGTTTTGACCATCTTCAGGTTTTCCCCTCTGATAATCCCTAACTCCTACCTGGGTTAACTAACAAGAAAAAAAAAGTTACACGTTTCTTAAGAATCTTGATATGCTAAAATAGCATCATAAGTTTTTATCTTTAAGCAAAATGCCAAACATGATTGTATAATGTTTCCACTCATGAAGCCCTTTGATGTTTGGTTGAGCTCTTGTAACATTTTCCACCTAGTGTCAGATATGTGTGTTACATTCTACAAAGAATGTGGTTTCTCTGCCTGATAGGAATCTTGTTTTAGATTAATCAGACTTTAATCACATTTGTAAAGGGAGTACCTTCTACTGGTTCATTGCTACTGCTACTTAAGGAAAAGTTTGGTTTGTGTCTTTTTAAGCTGTGAAAAGTTTATTTTTATGCAACAGAAAATAACTGCAAATGTTTTAAACAATATTGCTAAAACAAAGCCACCTTAGTACCAAAGCACATTCTGTTTACCAGGAAGAATTGTGAGACCAGAAACTAAATATATACAATTGAAGACAGCAAATTGACATAAAACTGTAAAGTTTGGGAGTTCCCTTGTGGTCCAGTGTCTAAGACTCTATGCTTCCAATGTGGGGGGGCCCAAGGTTTGATCCCTGGTCAGGGAACTAGATCCCACATGCTGCAACTAAGACCCAGTGCAGCCAAATAAATGAATAATTAATTTTTTAAAATAGTGAATGATGTTTATGTAGATCATAGTTATATAGGATAAAAGCTTTCACCGTGAGCTCCTTGAGTTGTCCGAGTGGGTTTTTTTTTTTCTTCCATGCTACCTATCAGTGAGGTAGTCCTAAAAAGCGTTTATAAAATTCCTAACCAGTTTCATGTTGGGGAAAGCCCTGGGTTTGAAGCCAAACCTAACTGCAAATCCCGTCTGGGCCATGACTCCAGTGGACTCCTCTGAGTCCCCAGTCCCTCTTCCCTAACAAGGGACAGTATTGCCTTCGTTGCCCGGTTTTGTGAGGACTCAGTGAGGTGTGTGGGTACAGGGAGGTCTCTCCGAGAGCTTGGTGAGGCACCCAGGGTTGTTCTGTGCATCAGAGTAAACATCATGGGCTACAAGAAAACACAGTCATTTAGGCTGAATATAAAAAGTGTTAATTGGGTGTCTACTATATGCTGGACATCGGCGGTGAGCGCGTACAGAGCTTGCTCTTAAGCAGCTGACTGTCCACAAAGAGTGCAGTGGGGTAAACAAGTGGGAGGTGATACAGGCGTGGGCAGTGTGCTGCTGACAAGCTCAAAGGAGGGCACAGTGGGGGCTACTTCACTTGGAGGTGGCCGGAAGGCTTTACAGAGTCTTGGTTTTCATGCATTTTACGGGCCTTTTCTATACAGGAGGTTGTGACTGTGAACAGGTATGTTTGAAACTTTTTACAATGTCATCTGTTATTTTTCATCCAGAGTTAGGGACTGGATAGAACTGATTGAAGGTGACTGTGGGACAGCCCTGGGTGGAATTCAAACCATTTCATTTTATTTAGGGGTTTGGTCAAATCTGCTGTCTCTGATGATGACATTATTTCTACTGTGATTAAGTGAGGGGTGACAGTCAGTGAATGCTGTTTTTGTTTCTTTTCAGTTAAAGACAGTGGAGGATGCTCTCAACATCCTGTGTCCCTCTGGACCCATAAAAAGTGTTTATCCCTTGACATTCATTGATGTGAAACAGGTAGGGCTTCAGAGGTAATGCTTTAATTTTTTTTCTACCCTCAAAAATATGTGCTTTCTACACTACCTGTTCTGAACAGAGGGACCAAAATGGTAAGCAGATACATCAGACCCCACGTGAAGTCACCTCGGACCTCCAGGCTCTAGCTCTGCCTGCTGCACAGTGGCTGACCTTTCCTGTTCTCCCCACTCCCATTTCTTATCAGACAGGTAATAACCTGCTTTAGCACAATTCTCTGCAGGTTATACATTGAGTATATGTCTGATATAATTCATCTTATTAGGTATCAGAGTAAAACCACTGTTCTATTACTCAAAAAAGACAGTTGTTTGTTCTTAGTTCCAAGATATAGGGACTGTGTTCTTGATAGATTAATTAGGTTATTAGAGATTCTTTTTCCTGCCTTTGCAGAGAAAAAGAACAAAGTGCATGGTATGTGTGTGTGTGTGTGTGTAAAATCTCCAGGCACGGCTCCATCTTTATTGTAAAATTTCCCCAACTTTTTATGTTAGAAAACTTGCAAGAATAGTGCAACACCCATAGAGCTTTAACCTAGATCCATCAAGTGTTAACAGCTGCTTCATTTGTGTTCTCTTTCTCGTGTGTATGGTTCAGAGTCAGCTGCTTTTTGTTTTTTTTTTAAGCATTTGAGGTAGTTGTCAACATCATGACACTTCCACTCTTAAATATTAGAGCATATATTTTTAAGAAGGACATTATCCTACATGAACACAAATAATGATCACTCTTAAGAAATCTCGCATGGATACAGTCCTGTTATCCAGTATACATTCTGCAATCAGGTATCCCAGTTTATTCCAGCAATGTCCTTTATAGCTTCTCTCTTTTCAGTCCAGTTGCCAGTCCATGATCACACAATGCACTTAGTCTGCTTTCATCTGCGACAGCTCCCGAGTCCGTTTTCCCTCTCTCTCTAGTGACATGGTCGTGTCTGAAGAGCTCAGACAGTTTCTGAGTCTTGTAGACACGCCTCGCTGGTTAGCTTCAGTGAAACATTTTTGGCGCATGCACGACGGCAGTGGTGTGTTCTTCTCGGGGTACTGTCGTAGGATCACTTGGTGCCTTCAGTTCAGCGTTCTGTTTGATCACTTAGTTAAGATCTCAGCTCTGGGTTTTGAAATGGAAAATTATCTAGGGGCTCCTTTCTGACTGTCTGAGGAGATCACCTTCTGGAGGGTGATATAATAACAGCACATTTGATCTTGCTTTAGCTTATTTTGCTTCCAGTTACTATTGTTATGTTTGTGATTTCACTCCAGCAGTACTGCTTTGTGATAAATAAAAATGATTAATTAAGCTCCCCCTCACTTTTTTATTAGTGTTGGGTAGTGTTCTTTCTCTGGTTCTAACACACACTGGTTGTACATCCATGTCTCCATCTACCTGTCCTCTCCACCGAGTAGGGTCGGAGCACATCAGGTAAGACACAACTCAGAGCAGTGGGAACCTGGGAAGTGGATCCCAGGTTAGTGTCCTTGCTTTTTCTCAGACCCTTTCTGCTGTCCCACCTTTGGCCAAGGCAGTGCTCTCAGATGAGGCGTGGCTCCTGGACCCTGACTGCTTCAGATCTGGGACAGGCCATAGATTTACTTCCAGCAAACCTCTCGGCAGGCACAGCTGCAGGGCATGGGGTGCAGCTTTGGTACCCTTGCAGCTGCCTCCCCCATCCGCCCCATCCCTGGAGTCCTCTACTTTGCCATTGCAGGGAGCATCTCACCTTCTGCTCCCCTCCTGAAAACCCCTAGTCTCTGAGCTAGGACTCACCACTCTGCTCCATTCAAAAGAAAAAAAGAAACGAGATGGAGATTTGGGGGTCTGGAAGGGAGGCATCCTTGTGCTTGAAGGTTTGGGTGATGACAGTGGCATTTCTTGAGTTTAGCACTTTCCTGCAACACAGGAACATGGGTTAGCATTTTCCTTCCGCTCCTGCATATCACCTCTCCCCTTTGCTGGGCTGCACTTTCTTGCATTCAGGGCTGAAGAGTGGGAAACTTTGTTTTCTGCTGGGTTTCCATTTGGATTCTCCTGTATGACCTGATTTGTCCAGCTCTCCCAGCTAATGACTACCCAGGAAGCCATTCACCCAGGCTGGTGTTTGGGGGCTTCCTTTCCGACCAGGGGTCCCAGCATCTCAAAGTACTTTCTGAGGCACATTTAGAGACACATTTCACCCCCACCTCCATCTGTCTCTCACCGCCTGTTTCCCCTTCGCCTCCACTTGAAATAGTTTCTGATTGACTCTTGTTTTGTATGTTAGGGCAGATTTAGCCCAAGAAGCTGGAGAATGTTTTACGGAGCACTCTGTTGCTGTTTACCGTTTGTTTTTGTTGTCTTTGGTTTTGGTTTTTCAGGTAACAACAGCAGTAACCTTTTGATCTGTGATGGGACCCCCCCAAGTGATTCTGGCACATCACCTAACATGTTCCAGGGTCTGGTTCCTTCTTGTGGGAGGGGAGGGGATGTTTGACAGAGGCCTCCAGGCTTCCTTGCAGTTTGCTGCTGTGATGGTTATTCTGTGATCTGAAAACTGAAGCCAGTTCTCTTCTTTCAGACAGAATATTTGCTGAGGCTGGAGAAGCATTTCATTCTTATAGTTTTAGAAACATTGCTTTCACGCAGATGGAGGGTGACCCAGTTCTCCTAAGATGAACTGCAAGAGTGATGTCTTTTTTTTGCATCCTTCTCTAACCAGTACTTTGGATTTGTGCTGTACCGAACAACACTCCCTGAAGACTGCAGCAACCCTACACCCCTCTCTTCGCCAACCAATGGCATCCATGACCGGGCCTATGTCTCTGTGAATGGGGTAAGAATTCTCTCTGAACTTGTGTATCTGCCCCTACGGGGGAGGAGAGTTGTGGGTTACACTTGGTAATGATCTCAGAGAGACAGCAGTAAGCAGTCCTGAGGAGAGATCTTATTCCTTGCGCAGGAACTGGTCCTGGGTAGCCTGGATGAAAAGCAGAAATCTTAGCCGCTAGGCCACCAGGGGCCACAGGCAAAGTTCTCCTGGCTCTTTCCCCTGTTTGAAAGCAAGAATGTTTCAAGGAGGCAAAAACTGTAAAAACAGGTAGCAAATTTATTCTTAGGGACATAGCACAGCAAGTGGGACAGCACACAGAGAAACAGCATGTTTATCCAAGTTCCCTGGTTGCCTGGTGGTTAGGAGTCAGCATTTCACTGCCAGGGCCTGGGTTTGAGCCCTGATGCAGGAACTGTCTTGCATGCCACACAGCAGGACCAAAATACAAAAGTAAATAAATAAACACAAATAGAAGACTGAAGCGAGGCAGAAATACACACCTGGAGAGGACAGCAGGTGTCCTGAATGAGGAGTGTAGTAACGAGGTGACTTAAATCCCTCATAAGACAGTCCTTCTGGGTTTTTGTGTACCATTGGCCAATTATCATTTCATTTTTCACACTTGGCCTGTCCTCGGGCCTTCCCCAACACGCGGGCTAACTTTTTGCTAAAATGGATCCCACTGCAGAGGCCTCTGGGTGCACGTCCTCACTTGTCATGGGGGGGCATGTTGTGACCCCCAAGGAGCCTGCCTTTACAGGTACTGACAGGGAAGTACCCCCTGACCTCAAGAGTGGCCACCTTATCTCTTCTCTTCAGCAGAGGTCGGCTTCTGCCACTAGCTTTGTCCTTGGAGTGTCTTCAGTTTGACCCCACTTGACAAACACCAGATGTCCAACCCAAGGGCCCATCTGTCTCCTACCTCAGTAACATGATAGTCAGGGCCACTGGCTCCACCCTCCTCGAAATGCTCCTGAGCTGTTCCTCTTGCTGGCTGATGTAGCCTCACCTGCATGCCACCTCCCTGAGGTATACACCCCCTCACCCGTCCGAACTTCCTGGCCGCCCCCCAGGCCAGGGCCGTCCCCTTTGACTGGCACTGTGTCACTCATGTCTTCTTTGCTCCTGGATGGCAGGGTCTGCGCAGCAGATGAGTCACTTAACTTAGGGTCTTCACCCTACATGAGAGGTTATATTCTGAAGGGCTGTTCATGATAATTAGAGCTAAGAGATACAAACGCTTTGGTTTCATACAAAGTAAACATAAAGTTATAGGATTTCCATTCCTCTCACTGAAACAATCATGTGAAATAAACACGTGAAGGATTTTTCCTAACCAAGAAAATTTGTTGAGAAAAAAATGTTTAATTTTTCTTAAAAAGAATGAAGTAATTTTAACAGATGAAATAGGCAAACAAGGTCCTACTCTATAGCACAGGGAACTATATTCAATATCTTATAATAACCTATAATGGAAAAGAATATGTAAAATGAAATCACTTTGCTGGACACCTTAAGCTAACACAACATTGTAAATCGACTATGCTTCAAAAACAACACAAAAGGAAAGAAATTGAGGATCAGAGAAGTGAAGTGATTCACCCAAGGTTACTCAAGTATCAGAAGTAGTTTTCTGCTTCTTCTATTTCTCCACAGCAATTTCCCATGTCTCCCAAACTACTTATTCTTTTTTTTTTTTTTTTTTCAGATTTTAAACTTTTTACTTTGTATTGGGGTCTAGCCAGTTAACAATGTTGTGGTAGTTTCAGGTGAGAGACAATTTTAAATGAAAATATTTCCATTCTATTGTCATAAGTGGTTTTAATTTGAGTGGCAGCAAATGTCTAAAACACTATGAGTATGTATACTGATGGCAACGATTTCTAAAATTCCAATTTTAGGGTTATTTTAGTGATTTACAGTCTTTTTTTTTTTTTTTAAAGAATCTTTTTTTTTTTTTAAAGAATCTTGCATTTAAAAAGTTAGGAATATGTTGCTTCTAAAATACCTGCTATTTCCCCTCATTCTATTATTTCATCTTTGTGGTTAATGTATCATATCAGGTATTTTGAAGTAAAACTACTCCACCTAACTCTCTGATTTTATCTCGTTTGTCTTATTTTGTCCCGTCTCCATGCTGTTTAAAAGCTATTTTTTATTACTACCTTTTTTTTGCTATGAGCACGTGAAGACATTCCTGTATTAGAAATCTTCCCCTGGAATTTCTGCCTCCATCCCCTATTAAAAATAGATGCACAGCCTACTCAATACTCTGTAATAAGCTATACGGGAAGGGAATCTGAAAAAGAATTCATATATTGATATGTACACATATAACTGGACCACTTAGCTGTACACCTGTAATGAACACATTGTAAATCAACCATACCCCAATATAAAGTAAAAATTAAATTTAAAAAATAAGGGACTTCCCTGGAAGTTCAGTGTTTAATACTCTGTGATTCCACTGCAAGGAGTGCAGGTTTGATCCCTGGCTGGGGAACTAAGATCTTATGTACTCTGAGGCATGGCCAAAAATTAAAAATAAATGAATAACGTTTAAAATAATAATAAATACAAAATAAGAAGAAATTAAAATAGACATACAGGAAAATATCCCAGAGCTAAGGAAATCAGCCTTAGCCCTTCCCTGGTGGGAGCTGAGTCTGGCACTCCTGCTGTGTAGAATGCAGTGGTTGCAGGAGCCTGGGCATCTGGCTGAGGACTTGGGCAAAGGAGCCATCAGAGCATTTCTGTCCCAAATCTGCTGACACTTCAAGGTAGGAAAATGAGTGTGGAACTGACTGAGCAGGCTGCCTCTGCTGACCCTCCCACCCTGGTTAATTCTCATCTGGTGATGAACCCACAGGTCGCCCAGGGAGTCCTTGAACGAGAATCTGTGCTCACCCTGAACATAACAGGGAAAGCTGGAGCCACCTTGGACCTCCTGGTGGAGAATATGGGGCGTGTGAACTATGGCCCGTCTATCAACGATTTCAAGGTAGGCCCAGCCTCCCTGTTGGGAGTAAGACTCAAAGGGTGACAGAACTGTGCCTGTCATTGGGGAAGTTTCTGTAAATCCACATAAAGACTCTCCTGCATACACTCTTTCCTTCCAGCCCTGTTCACGTAGAAGTAATTTTCTGTTTTGGTTGTGCTGGGCCTTTGCTGCTGCACACAGGCTTTCTCTAGCTGGGACAACACTCTTGTTGCAGCGCATGGGCTTCTCATTGCGGTGGCTTCTCTTGTTGGTGGAGCCACAGGCTCTAAGAATTATGAGCTTCAGCAGTTGCAGCTTGTGGGCTCTAGAGTGCAGGGGCTCCAGAAGTTGTGGCTTATGGGCTTAGTTGCTCCGAGGCATGTCGAATCTTCCCGGACCAGGGATTGAACCCGTGTCCCCGGCACTGGCAGGCAGATTCTTATCCACTGTACCACCAGGGAAGTCCACATAGAAGTAATTTTTAAAAGCCCACCCCCCCTTTGCCAAATTTGATGAGTAAATTTACCTGATTTGTTTTGCAACCTAGAAGTTGGGTTATTTTGAAGATCTGTTTTCCTCTGTAGATGATGAGAAAGTTGAGCTTTGCAAACAGAACCGTTGCATTTGAGTTCAGTCATCCTTTAGCAAGAAACAGGAGGAGGAAGCCACCGCACCATGCTTTTCCTTTGCTTAAAAAACCCACCGAGCCTGCAAAAGGCACTCCCTTGCTAACAAAGCCAACTTAGCATTTGTTCTGCTGTTTTCTGGGTGTGGACAAACTCTTGAATTTTAGAAAGCATTTCCCTCCACGCACTGCTCTCACCTCTCTTGGTTAGTCTGTGCCTAGGCGTCTAGTCCAAATATGTTTTTCTGATGTACATTTTGAGAGCACTGTTCAGTAAATGTTTGTTATGCTCATACTCTGTGTGTGTGCTCCATGCAGTGCTTTTGGGGGAAGGCAAGGATGTTGAGATACAGGCTGCCTCTCAGGAAGCTCACACCACGTGCTAGAGGAGGGAAGGCTGCACCTCAGGAATGACGGCAACACCCACGACAGGACAGGTGTCTGGGGCTATCTCCTGACCCTCCTGGTGGCCCCTCCGAAGCAAAGCAGTGACACTCTTAGAGCACAGTCATGCGGGGGCCACTTTTGTCTCCAGTATAAAAGAAATGTCCCTGTTACCGTCCTTGTGGTCAGACTAATTAATGGTCGTCCTGCTTGGCTATCATAGGCCACACTGACCCACAGAGTGACAGGGACTCTTGGGAAGTGTCTCGGTCCCCAGGACCCAGCAAAGAGCCTGGCACACAGCTGCGTGGTTAACGCTTATTGAATTACTGATTGGGCCACTGAGGCATGGTATTGAGAGGTGTCAGAGAACAAATGTGGGATCCCACTGGGATGGAAAAGTTCCCCTCATGAAAGGCTATGAAGAGGAAGCCAGATGAGCCATGGACAAAGGCTTCCATGCAGTGTCTGGTGCCATGGACACCCCAAGCCCTTGCCCCCACTGGACAAATAGAGCAACTTCAGAATGTGAGTCTCAGGCTCCCCATCATTGTCACAGACCCTTCTATCCTTTCACAGTGGGCCAAGTGTTCCTTTGCATTCCCAACCCCCCCCCCCCCCCCCCCCGCACCTCCATTCACTCTCCCATCCTCAAAACCATCATTTCCTCTCTTCTGGCCATGTCTCTGAACCAAACACTGAAGACTGGGGATTTGGGGGTCTAAAGCTCTGGGCTCGAGCCAGATCTGTGTCACTCTGATATACACACAGTTTGAGTTTCATGTGCTATTGGTGTTTCATATCCCAGTGTGCTTTTCCCAGGAATTCAGGGCTGGAACACAGAGTCACGTGAAGCCTCTCTCCATCCCCATCTTTACCCCGCAGCTCATGACTCTGTTTCTCTTTTACAGGGTCTTGTTTCTAACCTGACCCTTGATTCCGAAATCCTCACCGACTGGGAGATCTTCCCGCTGGACATGGAGGATGCAGTACGCAGTCACCTGGGGACCTGGGATGGCCGTGACAGCGGCTACCACATTAAAGCCCATGCACACAGCCCACCTACCTACGCACTCCCGACCTTTTATGTGGGTAACTTCACTATTCCCAGCGGGATCTCAGACTTGCCTCAGGACACCTTCATCCAGTTTCCTGGATGGACCAAGGTATGTGTCTTCATGGAAAGTATTTGCGTTTAGGCCTCAGATGTCTTTTCTGTGTATGATACAGCATCAAAAAGACTGCTAACGGTGTGCTGCATGAGACTCAGGGGAGTGGAGGGTTTTCTGTGGACGTTTATCCATTTCTCAGGAGCAGGGCCGTAGCACATCTTCAAAAGCTGTGGTCAGCCTGAAGGTACACCGTCTAGCCCATTTTCATTGACAACTTTCTTTAGCAACTTCCTCCTTCCCCTAAGAAAAATCATACCTTCTTTGAAAACTGACTAGGAAGAGCATTTCTTGTTTTTACTGAAGAAAATCTGGCCCAGGCAAAGGGGCAGATCTCTGGGAAGCCTGTTTGCTCTTGTTCACACCTAACTCTATACTCTCCAGATCACCCCACCTCTGTATGAGGATGCTCCCACGCCCGGGGTGCATCCACCCCTGTCTGTGGGATCCTCAGCTCCCCGCTGGCCACTTTATTGCCTGCTTCATTCTCCTTTATTCTTTGAAGACATGTCTTCTTTCACCATTGTCTTCTCTATTTCAAGTCCTATTTTCATCCTAGACGACCTTATCATGACTCAAGTTATTCATTCAACAGATATTTTAGTAGTTTCTGTTACTGAGACTGGGTCCAGCTGCTCGCTGCCCTAAAGCCAATAAAGAGGTCAGGCTGGTGGGAAGGCAAGTTTGCTTTATTTATTTCAGAGGCTGGCAACACTGGGGGAGGGCAGAGTCCTGTCCACAGGCCGACTCCCCCACCGCTGACAATCAGTGGGCAAGAGCTTTTATAGGTGGAGGGAGGAGCTACATGCAGAAACAGCACAGTCAGCTCTGACAGTCATCTTGAAATTGGTCATGCAGTGGTCTGAGCAGTGTCATCTTGATTGTCTTAAGTACAGTTAATCTTCAGTTCCAGGGTCGGTTTGTTTCCATTTCCCTGGGGCCAGTTCTCAGAATTGTGGCACCTTATGTCATGGCTGCAGTCTGGTCCTCATGTAATTAAATTCTTCCATCTGATGGGAGTTTCAGTGTCTACAACACAGGTCCAAGGATATGGTTCAGAATACTACCTAAAGCCATTGAGAAGAAACTAAAGGTCTTTAACTTTGCTTACTGGCTAAACCATTATCATTTTGTCCTGTTTGATTGTTTTCCTTTGCTTCTGTATTATCCCAGTTCTCTGATTAAACTGGTTAAAGTTTTCTACAGACAAAAGGCAGGCAGAGGACGTGTGGGGTTGGGGACCATAGGGTCTTGTTCCCTTTCAATCCACCCCTTTTTGACACTCTTCAAGATTAAGGAGAGACAGATACAGAGCAAGAAATGGAATAAAAGTCTTGAATAGAGAATAAAGTTAATAATAAAGTTGGCAGTGGAACTTGGTTTTAGTTCCATTTCTCTTCCAGTATTCCCCAATTCTTTGAGGCAGTGGGGTGTTGACTGCTCTGGTTCCTTTTTGCTGAAATGGGGTGCAGTCCTGCCTAATTTGGGGAATGGACACAGTTGGAAATAATCTCAAGTCTCAAGTTTAGCATCAGTATTTTGTATTGTGAAAACATGACCTCTGTCTGATTGTCTTGTCACAGCACCTGGATAAATGCTTAAAAATTAGCAGACATATTATGGATGAGGATAATAATCAAAATGCATCTTTGAATTATTCTCTGAATGTATTTTCTTCTTAATGGTTAAAGCAGATGTACAATGTATATCTAATAGGCCATAAGCTGGCTATTTGGAATACTGGAGTGGGCTTCCATTTCTTTCCCCAAGGGATCCTCCCACCCAGGGATCGAACCCAGGTCTCCCACATTGAAGGTGGATTCTTTACCATCTGAGACACCAGGGAAGCCCTGGTTAGTCTAAAGTTCAAATTAAATCATGTATAAGCCAGAATGACCCCCATACCTCAATATGTGAAAACTTCTTCTACCATTTTCCCCTTTCAATTGTAAATCTTCCCATAAAAAGCACTGATAATCGATATGTTTTTCCACTGTTGCCAGAGTGGCTCAGTTTTTGCCTGCTCTGGATCCATTCATGTCCGTCAGTGCTAGGCCGACTTTTTGTTTATATATTTATCTAGTCATCCACACTGGGAGAAAACTAATTAGACATAACAAACAAGCATAGTGAGGTATGCTGACAGGGAAGCATTTTATAGGTCATACATTTTATTGCTTATACCCAATCTTTACACATTGTACATGTGTTTTAAGTAGTAAACTTAAAGGCAGCAATGATACACATCATGAGTAGTTATACTTTGTGATAACTTCATTAAACAATTTTTTCCATTCTGAACATTGGGGTCAAAAGTATGATTAGAAGAAACACAACAGCTTTCCATTAGAATTCTGTCAATTTCTTAACAGTATTTTTCTCTGAGATTCCTCAGGGGCCCTCTGGAAAACTCAAAGTTACCTAGATAAAGAAACTTACGATCTGTTATCAAAAGCAGCACAGTATTCCAGGAAAACTGCTCTTGTAACAGAGAGAAAACCAAATTGCTGCCCTGTATCAGCTTACCGTTAAAATTCATTTGCCTTATTAAATTCAATCTAATTCAATCTTAAGTGTCCAAAATTCCTTTCTCATAGTACTTTGTTTTTCTTTACAAAAAAGGATACTTTCTATATCCATTTTAGTTTCTAATTTTTTTCCCACCCAAAAGTTATTCTCCTCTTATCCTTCAACAAAAATATCTCCAGGGAATTCCCTGGAGGTGCAGTGGTTAGGACTTCGAGCTTCCACTGCAGGGGCACAGGGTTGGTCCTTGGTGAAAACTAAGATCCCGCATGCCACACGGTGGGGCCAAAGGAAAAAAAACAAAATCTCCATCCTTTATATTTTCTCTGGCAGACAACACATATCCTACTTGCTTTATATACTGAAATGTATCCCTTATCATTTTTACATATTACAATTTTTAACCCTTTTAAAGCCTTAACAAAACTAAGAAACAAGTAGTTGAACTGTTATACCAGCATTTCTGATTGGCAAACTTATTCCATAACCTCTAAAAACATACATTTTTTTCATAGCACAATTTCTCTTTAATGTGGTACAATATGTGTATTTAATAATATGCATTTATTGTGTTTAAGCCCTCTTTCCTTTTTTCTTTTTGTTTAAAATTGTACTAAATAACCCAAGTCTGAAGTCTCAATGTGAGCTGTGTTTGTATTTCAAGGACAAGAGTTAACTTCGAGCTTTCTCCTAAGCATATTTTTGTTTTTCTCAGGGTCAGAATTGTGAAGAGAGAAAAAAAAAAGTATGTTTTCTCTAACTGCATATGCAAAAATAAAAGACTGTCATCATAACCAATTTTTTTGGAGTTTGAAGAACACTTGGTGGCCACCAGTGTTCAAAAAATCTTTTTTTTTTTCTGTAGTCATAGTTTCATAGCTAAAATCTTTCTAATGAATTGAACCTGAATTTTTCACTTTACAAAAGACAAGAATACCAATCACACAAACAGAATACACACTCACACACCAGAAGAAAGAACTGTCATAAATCCCCTGAGAGGATGACGGGTATGGAGTCCCAAATAAACACTTTCCAACACAAACAGTCCTCAACATCATACATACATCAGAACCAGTTGGCAAAAATGCCCAAATAGCACTTCAAGCTCAAAAGAGAAGTTATCCGGGTGCACACCCGTGGACTTACTGGGTCTGGGAGCTCCTCAACTCGTCCTGAGGCGTCTTTCCGTTCCACCAAGAAAGCGCGTGTTGGTGGCCAGTGCCGACCAGGGGAGAAATAGGGAGGATCCCCGAAACAAATGGTTTCGGCAGCTGGTAGGAATGTCCCCCAAACCTCCTCCCAGGGCCCGAGAGCCATGAGCAATGGCTCCCTGAAGCCTTCCTGGCGCGTCTTCATGGTGGCGGCTTCCTTTCGGGAAAACCCCCAGCAGGCAGGTATCGCGAGAGCTCAGTCTCACGTTGCATCAAAATCTGTTAGCGAAAGTGGGTCCAGGTGCTCGGAGCTCAAACCCAATAAAGAGGCAAGGTCAGTGGAAAGGAAAGTTGGCTTTTTTTCAGATGTATGCAACCAAAGGGAGGTCAGACTCCTGTCCAAAGGCCAACTCATCCTCCTCCCACTGACAAGCAGTGAGCAAGAGCTTTTAAAGGGGATCTTCAGGGTTGTATAGGTATTAGGGAGGGGGCTACAGTCAGCTCTCACAGTCACCTTGAAATTGATCATGCAGCGGTATGATCAGCATTTTGGCTGTTTGTTTTGCTGCACTGCACAGCTTTTGGGATCTTAGTTCCCTGACCAGCAATTGAGCATGGGCTCCCTGTAGTGGAAGTGTGGAGTCCTAACCACTGGGCCGCCAGGAAGTCCCTGACCAGTGCCATCTTGATTATTTTAAGTACAATTAATCTTCAGATCCAGGGTCAATTTGCTCCCATTTCCCTGGGCCAGTCCTTGGAATTGTGGCACCTTATGTCATGGCTACAGTCTGGTCTTCATGTAGTTAACTTCTTCCACCTGTATCTACAGGTTTCAGTATCTACAACACAGCTCCAAGGATATGGCTTGAATATTATATAAAGCCCTTGAAAAGAAACTAAAGATCCTTGACTTTGCTTACTAACTTATTATTTTATCCTATTTGATTGTTTTCCTTTGCTTCTGTATTTTCTCAGTTCTCTGATTAAACTTATCCTTTGGCTAAAGGTTTTCTACAGACAAAAGGCAGGCAGGAAACATGGTGGGGGGAAGGACTATAGGGTCCTGCTCCTTTTCACTACTATGTACCCAAACTTTGTGCCAGGCATTAAGGATCCAAAAATGAAGAGAACTGGATATGGTTCTTGCTCTCTTGGAACTTAAAAGTCTGGGTGTGTGCTAGTCACTCAGCTGTGTCCAACTCTGTGACCCCACAGACTGTAGACCACCAGGCTCTTCTATCCATGGGATTCTCCAGGCAAGAATACTGGAATGGGTTTCCATCCCCTTCTTCGGGGGATCTTCCCAACCGAGGGATC